TTTCTTGTCTAAATTGAATAACAAAAACAATTGAAAGTCGATATTCAAATGTTTCAAATTTAAAAAAAAAAATCACAGAAACCATTTGAAAAAAGTTTCATTCGAAAACCTCAAACCATGAAGATTCTATGAAAATTCAAAGAACCTATTGAAATAAAACGGCAATTTCATACTTTAACCCCTAATATATAAATACAATACAATATAAAAGCTCTAAAAGTCCAATATAGATTAAAATGTACTAAATATAATTACATGCTTCAGGCCTAAGCAGTAGCCCTCAGTTTTGTATGAAAAACGTATTTCTGTAGCGATAATTTGAATGCGATATTTTCATTATGATGATATTACTTCACTTATTATGTACATTTTGATGCAACCAGGCCCTTACAAGGTTGATCAAATAGCCGGTTTGAATTATTCAGGTACAGTTTTTTTTAATGTGCACTCGAATAAGTAATTCGAATAATTTTTTTTAAGATTCCTAAGAGTAATTCAAATTTGACAGTAATATAAAACAAAGTAACGATCACGTTAGAAGATTAAAAAAGTGAATTGGGAAATATCTCTATCATACACACTGACAAAATAAAATACACCTACAGACTGGAAATATTTGTGATAATCAGTCGAGTTTTCTATTTATATAACTTTCACGTTATACCAAGGTTAAGTGCATTGTACCAACTATGAAACTTAAGATACAATATTTTGGACAAAGCATAGTATTTCATAACTCTAGGTAGATTGAAACTAAAAAACAGTACGTACTATTTCTTTTTTGCATGATTTTCCTATAACGTATGTTTCATAGATTTTTCTAAATTATTTTAATCGTCTTAAAGTTATTTTAAAAACATTATAATATTGTCCATATTATGGGTTGTAGATCTCGTTATGCTGATTAGATTAGACATGTTATAGTAGAACTTAGTAGCAGTAGAACTCCTTGAAGAGTTCGTCCACGGAAGAACTGCCACCTTTCCTATTTCTGCCGCCAAGTAGTAATGTAAGCGTTACTGCGTTCCGGTTTTGAAGGGTAGGGGTGCTGGTGAAATTACAGACACATGAGACGTGTCAACTTATGTCTCAGAGTGACGTGCGCAGTAGCAGTGCTACTTCGATCTGTGCGTTTTAAAGCTGTAGAGAGACACTGTAACTGTTATGGACAGGTGTGTCCCTCGTACCACCAGGCCCACGCCTTGTTCGTCCCGTCACCTGGTATTATAAAAAAAATGTTAATAATTCAATTTCGCTAAAATGTCGATTACATAGTTTATGATAAGGGCGGCAGATTTGAGACTATCAGGTTTTGATCACATGTTTTTTTATACTATATATTAATATTTGTTTCTAATATAATAATATTAATATTTAACTGGCTCCGTGGTCGAACGGTTACTGCTTACGTGGCATGCTGGACTGCCACGCAGAGGGTTCGATTCCCGGGCCGGGAGACATATTTGTATGGCCTACTTTTATTTCTCTCGTGAGTTTGGGTGTAATTTGTGGTTGTCTATCGTGTGTCTATGGCACCCGCGTTACAGGGTTTCCCTAGTGCTACGAGTGTGTAAAAAAAATACATGATCGAAGCTATCAGCGCAAAAGTAACCCGCATTTAATTTTTGTTCTACATTATTTAAGTGATACTACAGTACATAATTATTATGTATTTGGATGCTATTTTCACGAATAAAAAATAATTTAATAATTATATAATTGTTGTTCATATATGACCACATACATAAGATGAATTTGGTTAATTTAAAAGCACATTATCTTCTTTATGCATTAATTTAACTAATTTTCTATAAATAACTAAGTGGATTTTTGTGTACTAACACGACTGACGTCTCTCGTTTCCTACACTAAAGGCAACCGTTACTACGCTCTCTAGAGATCACCGAGATATTCCAAAGATATTTAAAAAGTGTGTTATAGAACTCCAACCTAAGCGCTCTCCTATAAAAAATATGTGTCTCCAAACAATAACCCGTGTTCCTTATCACTGTAGGAGTAAAGCAGTATCAATTTTACGGGATATTGCCCATTAGAGTGTGTGGTGTGACCCCTCGCATTCCAACGCCGTGTCTCAAGATGAGGCAAATAGGAAAATTATGCTAACTCCTGCATTGCAACGGCTTCATGTTACATGATAATGATCGGATGTAAATTTATAGGCATAATATACAACTCTATAGAACTAATAATATATGTATGTGAGTATGGTTAGGTATTTAGACATATTAAGGTTAATTAGTTACTTAAAATTTCGGCCTAATTTTAACGACCTTTATAAAATCATAAACATAATATATTTGGTAACTGCCTGTTTCTTTGTGTGCGTAAGTATCATAAAAATATATATCCTGCGACCGCTAATTCAATGACAAAATTTGAATGCATAATTTGAATTTAGAAGCAAGTCACTATCTGTATAATCCCCATGGAAAGGTTTATTATAGGTAAGTAGAGAAAACGGAAGAATCCATAACTATCGACTCTTGTACCTGTACAATGTGATCAGGGGAAGAGGTTTTCTCCGATTAGCAGTTTGGTTAGAACTGCCCTCGTCGTCTTTTATTGAAAAGTACGTCGTCTTTTGTTTGAAAGAACCTCGTCTTTTGTCCAATAAAAACATTGTCTTTTGTTTAAAAGAATGTCGTCTTTTGTCCAAAACAACTTAGGTCAAATTTTGAATTTCTATCAGTGTAGTCTCTGTCTTTGTCAGTCCGCTGGTCAACTATGGAGGCTGGACATGACAACTCTCTTGAACTGATCAAATATATAATAAATGTACATAAAGTTGAAATTCCACACGCAGTATACGTATAATTTTTTTTATATAAAATTTGACGACCTCTGTGGTCGAGCGGTTTGCACACCGGTTTTTTATGGTGTTGCCATCTCTGAGGTTCCAGGCTCCAAACCCAGCCGGGTCAATGTAGAAAATTAAATTTTCTATGTTGTCTCCTGTCCGGGTGTTTGTGGTCGTTGTTTCCGATTTCCATAACACTTACTTTGGAATCAGAGAAACGTATGTGATGTTGCGTAACAAGGGTTCAGTAAAACATTGGGACGGTACGTGCCTAGTAATTAATTTAAAAATGTATTAATACTCTTTTCCAATACTTTATGTTATTAATGCTGTAGACACCAAAACCTTCCGCTACTTATCTAAGACTTGCAAGTCAGTTCACGGACCGGATCACGAGCCGTGACATTGACATTGGTTTCGTGTGTTAGCAAACTTGCATTTTTGAACATAGGACAATCGAGGTGGTAAGTAAATTTCCCAATTTCTGAGAAAACAAGTCGCTCATAATTCATAATGAATTATGGTGTATTAGTAACATATTTTTTACTTATTCACATATTCAATGAATAAGTTATTAATTGGTTAACGAATAATTTTCCCCAGTCATTTACACAATATGTAAATATTTTAATACTTTCTCGATTCTCAAACAAAGAAATAGGTATTTTTTGTGATATCAAGTGACGGGATAAAGGAGCCGTAAGACATAAGTTAACAAAGTCCATGTGGCTATAATTTCACTTTCATTTGACAGATTGTCCATAATAGTTAGCATGTAGGTATAGTAATGCGAATAATCAACGTGTTTCGCCGAACTACTCGTAAAGTGATACCCTTTTATTTCCGGCTCCTTTGGAACCAGATTCCACTGAGATCAGACCAATTGTTGCATCGACACGAAAATAGCTCTTTAAAAATGTGTGATACAAACAATAAATATTCAACTAGGTGTTTGCAAATGAATTACGAGAATTTATAGACTCGTATTAAAGTTAACGGCTAATATTTATTTCTGGAACTTTCATCAAATAAGAATGTTAGTAATTCGAGAGCTGAACGCGAGTAGTAGAACTCCTTGTGAAAGAGTTCGTCCAGGTAAGTACTGCCATCATACCTATTTCTGCCGCCAACTAAGAATGTGAACATTACTGCGTTCCGGCTTTGAAGGGTAAGGGTGCCGTGCGGTGAAATTATAGGCACAGGGGATTTTTCAACCTATGACTCAGGGTGACGGTTTCTATGGCAGTGCCACTCAGATCTTTGCAATTTAAAGTTTTAAATGCCGCTCAGAGTTCTGAGCGGCATTGTAACTGCTATTGACTGGCGTGTTATCACCAAGATCACAACTTGTTCCTCTCGTCACTTGATATAATAAAAAAAGATGCTTTGTTTTAGAAGAACAACTTTGGACACATGGCACAATATAGTTTGACAGACTTTATAGTTCTGACGCAAAAAACTGTGGGACGGAAATCTGCCAGTTGACGTCGGAATTAAGATGAAAAAGGAAATAAGTAATTTAAGTCTTCACTTGAACTTTTCTGGGAATCAAGTGATTCATTGTTGTGTATTACAATGCTATAACTATATAATACTATAACGCTACTAATGACTGTGACCATTAAATCGCAAATCATAAAAAACAATCTAAAATTAAGGCAAATAGAGGAGTTCGATCAACTAACTAAGCAAGCTTTCGTTTAACCTATATGTTTGAATAGTGCGTGTCATAAAATTCTTATTCCTATATTTCTAAACATGTTCGATTATTAACAAATACAATAAATAACTTAGTAACTTCGTAAATTTAAATTTAATAATTAATCAGAACTTCTCTTCATGAGAATACCTTTAACACAAAGACTTTTCTGAATTATTCTTTAACGTACACTTTAAACAAAATCGTACCAAACCCACATATGTATAAAGCGCCAAATATTCAACTCCCTTGTAACACTCGGTTAAAAATGTCTTAAAATTTATGCTCCACAAAAATTATACGAAACTTTTGTGTAGTAAATAAACTTATTATGTTGTTAGTTATATTCTTTTGTAATAAATAATGTTTACAAATAACATTTTGTAATAAAACTGGAAGATGCAAAGAGATGTTCGCAAGCTGGATGCATGCAGCGGAGGCAAGCACCGGGCGCGCTATAAAAACACGCGCATTATCACATAGCCACCAATTCATTACCGGCCGTCACAGCGACCGCACATTGCACTCAATCGAACGCGGATTTATTCTTTAAAATTTTGTGCCTGTGATTGCGGCTGTCTTCTTTACAGGACCTTATTTCAGGTAAGTTAAATTTCAGTGCGCCAACGACTACGAAAATTTCACCTTTTTTGTTAACATAAAAAAGCGTAACAATTTATTATTTTTAAAATAAAATAAATTCCTGGTTTTTCATAAGTAGTCAATCCAAATTAAGTCTTAGGCAATAACAAAAAGTTCAAGCAAAGAAAATACTCTATCGTTAATGCCAACTTTAATTACTTGCAATATATAATTTATACGCAACAAAGACAAATAGCAATTTATACATATAATTTTTAATAAATTATAAAGTTCTCCATAGTCATTGGAGACGTGATTCACGGGATATCTCAAACATTCTCGTGCCTTCTCATTAATGCAGCTCGATTCACAGCTCATTGCTTTCACGAGACGTGTCCACTGTCGATTATTGCTCATAGTTCATAATCGCTTGCAATCAAATGAAGCTATATTCAAATTCTCCTTTTCAATGAAAATATTCATAGAATTTATAAAATATTTTATAAATTTTGGTCCATGTTGACAAATTGGTGACAAGTTGTTGCTATAACAATTCATCAAACGGTTACGGACACTATTCGCTAGGTACAGGTGACTGTACCTACTGCGGATAAACAAAATTATGTACAGTTCCATTACAGTCAGTGATACGACAATAGGACACAGTTTCATAGAAATATAAGCACTTTCGTCGAATGGAGTAGTAAATTTTATCAACACCGACGGAAAAACATCGTGATGAATACCTGCACATCAAATATTTCTAAAAGCTTATTGAAAATAGAACCCTTACTTAAACTGCCTTGGTATTTTGTAGGTTTTTACTAATGGTAATACAACTTCATTCTAGACTATAACATAATATCTATTTCCCGTACACGTAGAGCAAATTTTCAGCTTAGTATTAAATTTGTACACGTGTAACATGTAAATTATCGAAAGTTTTCGTATAAAGAAATTAGATTTATAATATATTGCATGATTTATACTATTACTGAATTAACCAACAAAAGTAGTTGACACGTAAAACGATACAAAATAAACTAGCAATCAATGAAAAGTTCTTAAATTTTATCGTTTCTAAAAATGATACTCATTCAAAATGGATTCATACTCTGTAATACTAATTCGGCGCGCCCGAAACAAATCCGTAGTGAATCGATCATGCTCGGATCGGCAACAGCCAAAGAGACCGTGTTTTTGCCGTATTTCAATCATTAAGGGGATATCACATTAGTTAGATTAATTAAAAACAACTTATAGAATACCAATCCTCTCGAAAATGCGATTTTTTTTTACCGAGGTTTATGAATTAACATGTTATTATTTAAACGTAAATCGATAAAATTACCCTAAAGTGTTGAAAACATGGCTATATTTTACAAGTTTTTTTTATAAATAACTAAATACACAACATCACATACGTTGCTCCGATCCTAAAGCAAGGAACTAAAGCACTTCTGTTATGGAAATCGGAAACAAAGGCACAAACACCCACACCCGAAAAAGTTAATTTTTGTACATTGAGCCGCCCGGGTCGATTCGAAAAGAAACAAGCCCATGAAAACCGGTGTTCAAGCCGCTCGACCACGTAGGTCGCCAAAAGTACTACATTATATATAGTAGATATGGAAAAATATCTGTACTAATTACTATAGTTTTGATATTTTTACACTTTGCTCTATCAATAAATTTTGAAATTTATAAAAATATAGAAATATTTTTTCACGGTGTTGTAATTGTAAACGCAAAAGATTTCTTTGCATAATTTATGAAAGACCTGGCCGTAATATTTCAACATTTATACAATATATTAACAGGTACCTACATTCAAAATGTCGCTCGAGATGGCCGTTGATCAAATAAATACCTACAAGGACACAAAGCACCTTGAAAATGATAGAAATAACCGGAATTAATCTGTCGAAAAGGTTTTTTAGAATAATAAACATAGAAATACAAATCGGAGACTTTGGCATTATAAAAGTCAACAGAATCTACTGCTGGAAATTCCAAATCCTTAACCATAGATAGATAAAAAACACGAAATCAATAAAAAAAAATATTTTAGTACTTGGCGTGCCTTAATATATACAATATAACAAATATAAATATAAACCTTGAAGAGAATATAAATCTGCGTAACTAAAATAAATAATAATAATAAATAATAAATAATAAATAACGCACACACTCAACATAGCCCCGCACTAGGGAAACCCTGTGTCGCGGGTGCCATGGACACACACATAGACAACCACAAATTACACCCAAACTCACGAGAGAAATAATTGTAGGACATACAACTATTTCTCTCGGCCCGGGAATCGAACCTGGGACCTCTGCGTGGCAGTCCGGCATGGTAACCGTTCAGCCACAGAGGCAGTTTATTTATTTATAGTTTATTAAAATGTTTTGAAAATGAAAATTTTTCGGATCTAAATCTCGTATTTTTCAAAATAGAAGTAGCATTTGCGAAAACCTAAAAACTCTATACTAAAATATTTGTACAATATAATGTCTAATCAGAATGGTTACCAACAAAATGATCATACTCTATCAAATTTTATAAGCTACAAATACCTACAAGGTTCGTAGAACAACAGCGGCCCTGCAAGGCGAGTGGAGCGAAGCAAAACACGACAAAAAGTATAAAAAACATCGTCCGAACCGATACACGTGAAAACTAATCCAATCATGACTCATAATAAAGTTAAAGTCGCTAAACACGCTCAAATCTCGAATGACAAATGCGAGACCGCCCATGTACAAGGATGGAAATTTATATTCTTGGCTAAATCCACACCACACTCTGCTAGACAGGATCCCTAGTCAGCAATGTATCGTACATATAGATATAGTACAGGCAAATATAAAAAAATGTTAACAGTCCATACAATCATATACCAATAAATATTGTGACACATGCGTCACATCGTATTTGCGTCGTACATTTCCACGAGACACAGGTCGCTCATAAATTAATACTTACGTGGTTGACTTCAAGTACCTATAGTGCGAAAAGTTGGAATTTTCTGGAAAATATGCTTTAAGAAAATAGTAAAAAGACGATGATTAGCATCACCACTGTGTAATCGGAAACACAGATTAATGTCAAACATGTGTCTTTCAGCTTAGGAATAATTTGCTATTTATAAAGTAAAACAAAAAGAAGAAGACTTAAATATACAACAAAAATTCCTGCACAAGACGCTCACAGATTTTCCAAGTGCATAAAAATTATTTTGTCTACTACTGACTGAATTGAACTGAACTCGTTAGGTACGCAGAACGTCTGTCAGAATTATAATTAAGCGACTTAAACAATTTTCATGGATCACGGACATTTAAAGAACAAAACACCAAAGAAAACATAATTATTTTTGGACATGCAAGGACAAACTGACATTTTATTTTCGTCGGACTATTTGCAAGAAGTCACTAACTGCTATATAAATTATATGGCAATTAATGACTTCTTGCAATAAGTCGACGTTTTATTCTTTACCTAGCAACTTCTTTAATAGCCAGCCTCATATAAATAAGGAAAACATAATGTTGTGTACAAATATAAATATTTTATTGTACTAATAAAATAAAAATAAACTAATTGATGTAAGTTAACATCATCCTTCGTCTCCCCGAACGGATCTATGAGGATTACCTGACGTTAAAAAAATAAAAAAGGTACGTTTGCCTAGTTGCGCTCATCACGATTAATTTCAAATGTAAATTCAATTAATTGAACATATCACATGATCCCTAAATCTCACTTTATACTGTTATTCTATAATTATTCACGAAATCTATCCTCCAAAATACAGCAAAGAAAATTAAAATAATCGATTTATAAAACCCGTTTCAAGGAATGCCACACACGAATCTTGTCGACTTCAAAACATCCTCCTAAATGGCTGCATTCGTTTACATAAACATAACATTAAATACACACGTATACAATAATAATATAATGATTTACCTTCGGCAAACATTTACTGTTAAATTTACTTCTATAAAATTAGACAACATCAAATACTTTGCTCCGATCCCAAAGTTAGTAACTAAAGCACTTGTGTTATGGAAATCGGAAACAACGACGGTACCACAAACACCTAGACCCGAGACAGTATACAAAAATTTTTTTTTTTTTCATTGACCCAGCCGGGAATCTGGGATCTCATAGATGGCGACACCATAAAAACCGATGCGCAAGCTACTCGACCATGGAAGTCGTCAAAGGCAGGGTCGCAACTAAAATACCTAAGAAAGGTCAATTTTATCGTTGAAAAATAATTCTGCCGCCGTTAGTTGAAAGGGCGCTTGTGAAAAAAAACTCAAAAAGGTAAAAATAATGTTTAAAGAAATTAAATTAAAAAAATATCAACTTTTCTCTTGCGGTAACTTCATACTTTTCTACCTAAGAAAAAATAAAAATAGTGACCTTTGATCGGCCTTTTTTTACTGATCACTATTACTACATATGATTAATGTAATAAAAATCAAAGCGAAATAATTTGCTGGAATCATTCAACTTTGCGAATAGAATAAAACAAATAGCATGTAATTATTTTTAAAGTTATTTACTTGAATACATTTGTACACACTTAGCCTGTAGTCAACCAAACATTCAAATTTCTCTGGCTAGTTCGATATTTGTTGACATTTCATATTGGCAGCAGCGGGTGGCCCGTTAAACAAACTCGGTTCTTCCGCCGGCATTGACCTAAGCTGCAGGTTTAGCATTTACCGTTGCATTATTTATGTAACCCTGGTGGTGAATATTTTGATGTAATATAGATCCAAACTAATATTATAAACCGCTGAACCAATTTTCATGAATTTTGGTGTAGACTTAGATAGAACCTTAGGAGAAGGGTAACACAACTTTTTGTAAGAAAAAAAAAATGTTTAAGGGGGTGAAACAGGGGATGAAAGTGTGTGTGGAAAACCAATAAAATTATGAAAATTACTTATTCTACGAAGTCGCGGGCACCAGCTAGTGGTATATATTATATATTATT